CTTTGAGTACCCAGAAAAGCACTATATAAATGTAACAAATTATTAATTATTATTATTAAAACTGTTCATTTGAAAAAAGAAATGTCCACTGTGATGAGAATAAAAAGACCTTTATTGCCATTTCACAAATGACAAACCGGTAAGTGAAAAACTATAAATAATCACCTAAAGAGTACTATAAAAATATTTACAAACAAAGTATATAAAAACAATGGAATCTACAAATAAAAACAAAAATGAATTTTCCATATTAATGTCCATATTAGCTCATTTTGCCCTCCTCATCTCCTCCATCCACTGCTCTACAGTCTTTCCAGAGGCTTTGGCACAAAAGTGAACACCGCGGAACTGGCTGTGACCGAATTCTTTTGTCTTTGGTTTGCCACACTTTTTACAAACATACTGTTCACAAGGCCGCTTCAGGGGTAACCCCCGCTGGGCTGCCTCTTCCTCTGCCTTCCTTCGTCGCCAAGCAGTCGTCCTAGGCACCTTTGGACTAGGGGGCCCGGTGGCAGCAGCTCTTTGCTCTGTGTCTGTTTGAAAGGGCTCGGGACCCCCGATCACTACTTTAATTACATCGCCTACATGTCCATTTCGAAAGGGCTCTGGAACATTGTGTTGTACAGGAAATAGAGGCTCAGACGCCTTCATGTTGTCAGTGCACTGGTGCAAAACCAACTGTTCTTGCCTCTGTTTCCTGGCATTGTACCTGTGTACAGAAAACATGATACAGTATTTAATATCTATGTAATTATAATTAATATACAGCTGCATATTAATAATCAATTACCACTGGCACAGTGTCCGCTGGTTTATCTCAAGCAGCTGTATCTGTGTCCGGGTCGAGATGGCAGCGCTGTCCTGGACGATGTCCCTGATCATGTTGTAGTCGTGGAGGATGGCAGCCCATCTGTTGACCCTGAAGCCAGCGATGGTCTGACCAGCAGGGTGGATGTGGCTAAGAGCGAGGCAAATGGCTGCGACAAGACGGCTGACATTGTAGCAAATCCATGGAAAAGGGAACACAAGTTATTTCTAAGGAATTTCAATAAAGATTAAAAAAGAACATTTATGTAATTTTCTGGCACTCGTACCTTTTTAGACCATCAATGCATGGAGTCACAAAGTTATCGCTATGACTGTTGTTTAAGCACAATGTGTCTTCGGCTCGGGCCGGGTGGACAACACCACCTTTGTCATGCTCTGACAGCTTATCCCACAGGGCGACAATCTCGTCCACCTTTCGCTGTGTGACAAATCCATGATTTCTAAGCTCGACCAGACTGTTGGCCAGGTTAATAACATGGTTATACTCAGGAACACCATCAGGCCCCACGCACTTTTCCTGAGAAAAACAGAGTACTTCCTATTACAAAAATGTCTTATAAACATATGAACACAAACACATGGCAGAAAAATTGGTAACATTTTAAAATAAGGTCTGATTGATTAACATTAATGCATTAACTAACAGTAAGCAGTATATTTGTTACAGTATTTATTATTCTTTGTTAACGTTAGTTAATAAAAATACAAATGTTCATTGTTAGTTCATGTCCATTTACTAATATTAAATATACAACTTTTTAATAATTGTGTTATTTGTGAATGTATTAATAAATAAATGCTTTCAAACTATTTTTCATTGTTACTTTTTGTTAACAACAATAATAAATGGAACCTTACTGTAAAGTGTTGGAACCCCTTTTTTTTTTTTTTTTTATCCTCCTCCTGTGAGATGCCCTGAGGCGTGTACTGGTCTGCAGTGGTAGGCTCGTCCTTTATGGGCCCAGATGTGGAGGACACGATTGGATCCGGCTGCGATGTTGAGAGGCCGGAGGAAGGTGATTGCAGAAGTGCCGCCTGATATTGAATAGGCTGAAGTGGTTTGAGGCTGAGCTCCAAGAACTGTGGTGATTTGAGGTCATCAATGTCCGAATCCTCATATTCCAGGTTTGCCTCCAGATAATCATCACTCCCATCAGGAGCATCGGGATCCATAAGGTAGTCGACCTCCAACACTCTGTTGGTTTGAGAATAAAGATACTCCACCCCTATGAGCTCACCTGTGCAAACAGTATGTCACAAAAAATTCATTGGTTAACTATTAAAGCAAAAAAAAAAAAAAAACCTAGACTAAATAAAACAGCATGACAAAGTACCATTCTTCAAATGTTTGGAGTCAGTAAGATTTTTTAAATGTTCTTGAGAAGTCTCCTATGCTCACCAAGGCTGCATTTATTTGAGCAGAAATACAATAACAGCAATAGTATTGTCAAATAGTATTACAATTTAAAATATAATGAAATTATAATCAATTTTTAAAACAGTTGTGCTGCTTAATATTTTTATACAAACAATTTTCTTCAGGATTCTTTGATGAATAGAAAATTCAAAAGAAAAGCATTTATTTGAAATGTAAATCTTAAATGTCTTTACTGTCACTTTTGATCAATTTAATGCCTCCTTGCTAAAAACAAAAACCTGTATTGACCCCAAATATTTGAAAAGTTGTGTGCATTTTTGAGAATTACATTTTCAATAAAAAAGGCAAATTTTTCAGCTAGCATTTTATGTCTCCTAAATATACACAAAGTAATATTTCCACATTTTCTGAATAATTCATTTTTTCTTTGTGTACCTAAAACATAAATATATAGTAATATAATGAATGATAAAAATAAAAAAAATCACATTTTTCAGTCAGTTTTAATGTGACCTTATATACAGTATGTGTATAATATATATATATATATATATATATATATATATATATATATATACACACACACAGTGGTGTGAAAAAGTTTTGGCCCCCTTCCTGATTTCTTATTTTTTTGCATGTTTGTCACACTTTAATGTTTCAGATTATCAAAAAATTTTAATATTAGTAAAAGATAACACAAGTGGACACAACATGCAGTTTTTAAATGAGGGTTTTTATTATTAAGGGAAAACAAAATCCAAAACTACATGGCCCTGTGTGAAAAAGTGTTTGCCCCTAAACCTAATAACTGGTTGGGCCACCCTTAGCAGCAACAACTGCAATCAAGCGTTTGCGATAACTTGCAATGAGTCTGTTACAGCGCTGTGGAGGAATTTTGATCCACTCATCTATGCAGAATTGTTGTCGAGCATGAACCGCCTTTTTAAGATCATGCCACAGCATCTCAATTAGGGATATGCCGGTATCAAATTTTCATGTTGCGATTAATTGCTAATGCTTTTATCACGGTATGCGGTATTATCACGGTATTGAGAATTTAATCAAAACACACAAAAAGAAAGACATGCAATGCATTACCAGTGTACTCTCCTGGGCTGTTGTGATCCTCAACCAGTTTATGGCCTAAAACCTTCTGGCTTAGACGGTTTACGTAGTGCTGCAGTGGACTGCATTCATCAACAGCAACAGATCGGGCCTCGTTCCACTGCACTACTCCTTCTAGCAGGTAAACATGGAAGTGCAAGTCATTTGTACTTGTACCTAAAAGAAGAGAAAAAGAGCAGGTAAAAAATCATTTCAATCTACATTGACATTTCACAAATATAACTCTCTATTTATGGCTCTTACAAACCTGGAATGAAGTGATTCAGATGCTGATGGAATGATTCGAGGGATCCTACGCCACGTGCACAGTGATACAGGGGCAGAATGAGCCCTCCTCTGGTCACCTCTCCAATCTTTCTGTAAAGCTGTACTCCTGGAGGGTCCTGAATGCATAAAAGATGGCATTGTTGGGCTCGCCAGATTTCCTCCATCCTCTCCTGGTCCAACAGTTTGTTACCCATGAAATCTGTAGCCCCCATGAAGTCCTTTAACAGCTGTTCAATGAGCTGCTTGGTCACCTGAGGCTCACGTGTCTGGTGGCGACAGTGCTGTACTAACTCTTTGGCCGTGGGCTTGTTGGATGCTTTGACATCTTTGGTTTGTCGCAGCTCCAGTCGTTTGGCTTCTTGTAGTCTTTTTAAATCCTCAGCATCCCACTCAAAGATACAGGAGAAGAGCCGTCCCATGAAGGGGCCGTACAGCAGGTGGCTTTCTGAAGTGACGCCTGCTGTAAACCGCATCATAAACTGCCACGCATCCAGTCTGACGACCAGCTGGTCCCACTCGTGGAACATGGCTCCCACTTTGCTTTTACCCGTAGTGGAACAACAGTCCTGGTCCACATAGAGGACTTGTGGAGGAGGCTTTCCGGTTCGCCGATAACGTTCCATCAAGCCGGAGCACATGGGAAGCAGGCCCTCGTCCACTGTTTGTGTCAGGACACATATTAAGACCTGCCCATTCTCATTCCCCACGTTTGTGGACCACACAGCTGAATCGTGTTTCTTAGTGACCTAAAGATGGATGAAAAATGGTAAATGCAAAAAACATTGGATGATTTATATAAGCTATATATATTTATTCAAAAATACATTCAAAATTCAATTAATAAATATTATGATTCAAATAGACCACTTTTATTATGGAATAAAATTAATCTTGGTATTTTTGGTGAGGCGGAAAAGCTTCATTAAAATAATGAAATTCTTGAAAAATAATTAAACACTGCAATATTTTGTTCAGTATTTTAACAAAACTGCTATTTTAACAGTTAACCAACATGTAAAAAACAGGAAATTATATGTGACCCTGGACCACAAAACTAGTCATAAGTAGCACAGGTATATTTAGCCAACAATACATTGTATGGGTCAAAATTATTGATTTTTCTTTTATGCCAAAAATCATTAGGATATTAAGAGGCCAAATATTGTCTTATCCTAACAAACCATACATCACTGGAAAGCTTATTTATTCAGCTTTCAGATGTTTCAGCTTTCAAATCTCAATGTTTGGTGAGCATAAAATTATTTTTATTTTATTTTGAATGGTAGTGTATGTATTAATCCAAATACTTAAATGAATGCATAACATTTAGTTGTGTCTGCTCACCTTCTTGGTGGAGACCATTTTCAGGATGGAGCCGTAGATGGAAGTGACTCTGGCCTTCATTTCTCCGAGCCGTGTCAGTACATCCTTTGCATGTACCGTCAACAGCAACGATGGCGATGGCAGTGGCATCATCTGCGGCAGCCTGGCAGTAACAGCGCTGAGATCTTGAAACTTGTCCAGTACAGAGAGATACTCTGCAGACTGAGCCAGCCACTGCTCTTTGTGCCGAACACAAAGGTGCCGATACAGCGACATCACACTCTTCCCTGGTGTCTGGCTCCGCATCAGTCTAACAAGCTCCTTATCACAAGACAACCTTTAAACAAAAGACACAACACAAAATCAAACCAATATTAACAATATCTTGACTGTCAAACAACTCTGCTAACCTGTAAGTCAACACTGCTGGGAATTTCTCACGATGGATGGGATCCAATTGATCCAGAATGTCTTGCGACCAGCCTGCCACCTTTTTCCTGCAGGAACAGCACTCCAGGTACTCTGTGACCATGAAATACCACCCACTCATGTCCAAAACCCTCCGGACAGTGTTGTACAGTCCGCAAGGCCTCAAATGATTGCCGAGACGACGGCAGTTGGGCTTCGCGCATGGCAGCCTGTACGCCCACATGCGGCAGGGCATCCATAGGAACAGCCTGCTGTGAAAGAACGGGTCAGGAAACGGAGGAGGCTGTGAATACAACAACTGGGGTCCTGGAGGTGAGCACCACAGCTGCAGAGGTTCAGTCAGCTTTAACTTCCCAGATGCGTCTCTGCTAAAGAGAGCCTTACTGACCCAGAGATGCTGCTCTTTTGGCAGCATCTGCTTCCAACCTTCTGGAAGTAAAACCTGTTGGAGAAAGGCAGAGAAAAAAGGTGGACATTCAGCTGTTTTTGTCATTCTGCAAAATGGCCACAGTTATCATTTGACTTACTTCTTCAGGAGGATCAGGAAGCTTTTCGACTGCTTGGGTTTTCATTTGTGATGAGGGCTGGGCTGTCCAGGAAGATCAGGATAAAAATAAATAGAAACATTAGTGATGTTTCAAAATTATTTTTTTTATATAGAAAACCAAACTTAGTGTTTCCATTTAGCCAAAGAACAAAACCTGAAACTAACGTTTCTGTAATAAAATAACCACAGAACTGCAATCTTTATGCTGTTTAGGATGTTGTGTTCTCAGATGATAAATGAAAAGTTGTAGTAAAGTTTTTCGACAATAGACTGACTCTCAATATTTTAGACAAGCAATTTTTCTATATTGCTCCTAGCATCGTTTTTTTGTCACGGTGAAGTGTGTCCACACTCCTAACATGTCATAACTTGTAGTTTATCCAAGGTATACATGAAATAAATGCTGCCATTGGAGTAATGCTAATTAAATGTCATTGTTTTGGTCAACAATCAATCCTTTTTTTCATATTTTCAGTTGCTGAAGTTCAGATGCATCACTTAAAAAAAAAAAAGATGATGCTCAAAGAAAAGGCACCATACATTTTGTTTCTATTTGTGGTAGCATTGCGAATAACATTACTGATATATGAAAATAAAACAATACAAAAACTTCTGTTACATTATTTATTTTAAGATGGCCTTGTTACAGTGTAATTACTCATTTAAGTACTAAGTAATATTAATTAACAACATGTACTTATATAATCATGGTTAGGATTAGGGTTTGGTTTAGGATTAGCTGCTTGTAATTATGGATAATTTACTGTTATTACTATAGTAAATATGTGTAACAAGGACACTGTAAAATAGAGTGTTACTGAAAGCTCTAACTTACTGGAAGTCAAAAACACGACAATGACAAAAATCACTGGAGTAGTCAGAGCTGGAGATGTCCACATACACTAAATGGACAAAAGTATATGGACTGTTGTGTAGAAGTCTGTTCCCCTATGTTTCCCCTTAGTTTAGCGTTCCCACTACGAAAACAGCGTACAGAGCACACGAGTGTGCTCGTTCTACTGTTCCCGCTTATCTTTTTGTCATCTTATAATATTTACTATATATTTAGGTATTGATCACAGGATCGATTTGAAGGTTTGGAAAGCTTTGCCGACTGCGCTGTATATGTATGAAATATGAAGTCAAATAAATGTACAACGTAATTCTACCTCTAACAAGTATATTTTTCTTGTGTGTGCTTCTCAATCTCAGTTTAAAATAGTTTATTGGCATTATATATAATATATATATATATATATATATACACACACACACACAGAGAGAGAGAGCTTTTGTATAATATGTAATACAATACATAGGCCTTTTATGCTTTTGAGGATATGTGGTACTTTACCTATTTACTGCAAAATTACTCAACTACATCATTAGCTTGCATAATTATGTTTTAATAAATAAACAGTAAATAATTAAACTGAGTAAATATTATAACTGTTCTTATGATTATTCATAAGATGATATAGCATATTATAAGGTTTTTTATAATGCATTATGCATTCATTATAATGCCTTAAGAATACCCTTATAATGTATTATAAATATGGGCTTCATAGAAAGTGTTACCAAAAATTTTTTTGAAAAAGGTTTTATGAGCGTAAAATGAAAGTCAACGGGGTTCAATTTTGTTTGGTGGAGTTATAGTTCTTTCCAAATGTGTTCAACAGACTTCAGGTCTGGCTTTGTGCAGGCCAGTAAAGTTCTTTCACAGCAGACTCAGTAAATAATCATTTCTATATGGGCCTCACTTTGTGCACAAGGACATTGTCCTGCAGGAACATAAAAGACCCTAACCTGCTGCTGGATTGGAAGCACAGAATTCTCTGGAATGTCATTGTGGTTTAGCACTAAGGTTTTTTTTTTTTTACTGGATTGTCCAAACCTGACATGAGGGTGTCCACATACTTTTGTGTATTAGTATATGTTAGAGCTATTTACAACATGAGTTATTGTTAGTATAATTTAAAAGTACGTACTACTTACACAATACCAATACTACTAGCACTACGACAATACAATACCAATACAGTTACGTTTACAAACGACACAATGAACTCAAAATATTGTCTAATCTGGAGAAACAATAAATAATCGCGTCAAACTAATTAATTCATAAATGAGCCATCAGCCATGATTGTGAAAAGACAAAAGTGTGGACCCGTGAGTGAAACCCCTGGCATTAATTCATCAAATCGCCACACCACCATACTGTAGTGTTTCAAACTCACATGGAACGGCTCATTTTAATCGACAAATCTTACCTTGGAGGACGCCTAAATCAAATCGAGACAAACGGTTCACCCCAAGTACTGTTACATTTGTTGTCTCAAACAACTGTGTGCTGTTTGTCTGTCCCGACAAGTTCTTGTATCACGCGAGCAGTCGTGCTTTTGGACCTCAAGTGCCAATAGTATCCAGCTGTGCAGCGAAACTACAAGCAGATAAATTACAAAAGGTGGAGATTTTCCACTCGTGAAAATCACAGTGTAGTCTCGCCCTGCAGCTGAAAGAGCCAATCGCATTTTTGATAGAGACTAAAAGTCCCGCCTTCCATATAAAAAGCCAATCGCCATTTTCGCTTGTTTGTTTACGCTTTACTGAGCATGCGCTTTAGATTTAATATTTCTGGGTGCTTGACAATATAAATGATTTTACCTGGTGGGCAGAAATTTGATAGTTTAATTTGATGAGCACAAAGGCAAAAACAGAAAACGAAAAAAAAGCTTGACTATTTAGACACACACACACACACACACACATATATGTATGTATGTATATGGACCATTCTACATAACTGGTCCAAAGTCAGAGTTTGAAACGTCTTTTTCCAAATAATATTTATTTATGCAAATTGTATAATATCCAAGGTACACATTTCTACTAATTGTGCAATTAATTCTCATATTGTTTTTATCAGAAAGTTTTGGAATATTTGTCCTTTCCCCAAATTTGTCACTACCGAAAAACAGTAATAATAATTTAATTATAAGGGTTATATTGACCTATTAAGATTTTGCTTACATCTAGATTATAAATGTATTTTTTGCTATTTTATTAAAAAAAAATTCAGAGGTGAATCAATAACAAATACATTTTTAACAATATTTCAAGTGTAATTTATGAGATTTGCTGTATTTTGAATCCTTTTTTTTTTTTGTAAAAGGCAAAAAGTTGATCATACCGATTTCAAAATTAAGGTTTCATTAGTTTAAATATACACTGAACCAAAAACTATCAAAACATCTTGGTTAATAATTCAGTATACTTTATTTTTGACGAAACATCCCATGTTTCGATAGTGACAGTAATGCTTTGGTAGCAACATCACACTATAGAATTTTAACCGAATACTGTAATTTTGGTACCGTGACAACACTAAATGATGACATGTTTCGGTAGTGACAATTCAATGGGATAACACCCAAAAAAAACAAAACTACCAAAACTCCACCAAATGTTTCGGTAGTGACATTTTTTAACCTAGATCAAAGATGCTAATGAGCACATGGTTAGCTAGCACAGTTCTGAATAGTGGTATACATATAAAAACTAAATGTTATGGAATAACTCCCAAAAATGCTTAATTGCAAAAAAAAAAAATACACACAGATTTTTCAGACCTTTGAGCACATTTACCTTAAAATGATGAGACCTATCTACTCACACCTTGTAGCTATGAGAAAGGGGGACACAGGAATATTTCCTGATCAAAAATGTATGGGTTTAGTTAAGCCCTTTAAAGGGGTCCTATTATGCTCTTTTACAAAGTATTGATTATGTTTTGGGGGTGTACTAGAACATGCTCTCATGCTTGGTGGTTCGAAAAACGCATTATTTTTCACATAATTTACATTATTAAAATACCTTTCTCCCCATCCTGGCACAAACGGCTCGATTAGTTCCGGCTTTGATGAAGGTCCACCCTCCGAAAAACAAAATCTGTTGTGATTGGTTAGCTGTCCCAGCTGTGATTGGCGAACAGCTTAGACGGCGTTTCAGTACTGCAACGCCCCTTCCTCCGTCTTT